TGAGCTGCAGTGGTCGGCCGCGCTGGGGCGTTTTCGCCATGCTCGGGTTGTTCGCCGGTTGCACGTGGGGCTCGCCCTTCGCCGTGAAACCCGGGGGGGACGCGGTCGTTACCACCATTCCGATTTGTTCCGTCGGGGATGACACCAGACGCGCGAACAGAAGGTTGACGCGCACTGTTCAGCAGCTCCAATGCAGTAACAGTCGCATTTCCGCCGGTTCTTCTTGGAGATCGATAACGCTCACGGTGGGAAGAAGATGCTCCATCTTCCTCACGTTGCGGGGAGACACGCCTGCCACTGCTCCGTGTAACCATTCTTGGAGCAGGAGGTCTTCCCGCTGCAGCGGAAACGAAGCCACTCGCCATAGCAGAAAGCCTTACGTTTAAAACGTCTGAAATAAAAGTGCTCCTATGCCTAGTCCTAGGCATAGGAGGTAGAAGGGTTTAGAGAGTGTGCTGGTGGTAAGCAATCAAGATCTGGAAAATGCAAATGAGACTAGATGGCAGGTCTGAGAGACCTGCAGGAATGTCAAGGAGTTTGTCTCCTTTACAGCAAACTCCTCTACTAGTCGAATCACAATCCTCAAATTTCTTATCTTAAAAAAAAAATTACATGTTCTTCAGGTCCCTACAGGTTTTTTTCTGGTATATGGCTCTTGTGGTTGTGGTGGTGAGCACCCTTGTATCTATGCTACTGCACCCATCATGCATGCATATGCCTGCCCCTCTGATTCTTTTTACTGTCACTTGTACTCATCGACCCCCTCCCTTTCCTTCATTCGCTTTGCAGGTACCTCAACCCTAAGGTCTTCAACAAATAACCACCACTCAGCATGTTCAACGTTCAAAGGCATTCGGGGATCAATCATTGCAAGCTTCAAGTTTGAAGGCCCTCAAGGTAAATATTAAATCTTTTGGCAGTTCTAAATGTCACACACACTTTAACATTCCATTTTTTTCCTGCAGGAGCTTCAACATGTCAACGGACTCTTTCCATTGAAGATGGCCAAGATCCTGCAATATGAAGTCCCAATATTCAAGGTTTCCTTAAACGGTGAAGTTTTTGTCTTTTGGCAGTTTTAATGTTTGGCACACTCACTAACTTTTCTCTTTCTTCCTGCAGGAGCTTCAACATATCAATGGACACTTTTCACTGAAGATGGCCAAGATTCTATAATTTGAAGTCTCAAGATTCGAGCTTCCTTAAAAAGGTGACGTTTTAATCTTTTGGTATTGAAGTTTGTGACACATTACTAATATCTTCACTTTATCCTGCAGGTATCAACCAAGAGATTTCATTGGACTTGAGATCCAAGGCTTTCCAAGGTAAGTTCTATTTTCCAACATCAAGTTCGTGTGGATGTTAACATTTACTAACAGTTCTCTCTCATCCTGCAGATGTCTCAACATAGAAGATCTTCAATGGCAGCCATCACTGAAGATGCTCAGCTCAGCAATCAAGGTATTTTTTTTTACCTTTTAGCAGTTCAGTTCAATGCTTACTGCATTCCTGCACACTCTGGCTGAGGACTGACTTTTTTTTGTCCTCCTGCAGGTAACCTGGAGGCATGGCAAGTGGCATGAAGGCATGAGAAGGCATGATGCTGAGGGACCCTTGGGGTTGTCTAAAGACTCGGATCCGGGCCATACAGACTGAGTCTGTCAATAGAGAGCTGACTGCAGCAGCTCTGTATTGACAGATTCAGTCTAAATGGGCTCCCGCATGCCTTGGGTCTAGCGACTCTGAGGGTTGGCCAGTTCTCCCTGAGGTGGGGGGGGAGGATGGCCATCGCCATATACCTCAGCAGCCAATCACCTCCTTCAGCAGCCCATCGCCATCCCTTCAGCAGCCATTTCTTTCAGGCTAAGACAGGTGAGTCGTTCTGGTTGCTCTAGGGTTACTGCTTTCATCTTCTGCCTGAATACTAACAACTTTTGTTGTGCTCTGTAGGTACCTTACATTCTTTGATGATTTGCCGTAGCAGCAACCTTAGTGGCATATATTCTTCTGAGTAGCAGCAACATGCTCTAGGATATGCTAATGTTCTGTAACATTTTGTACGGTATATACTAAACACTTGAATGTTTACTTGGATCCATACTTGACTTGAAAGCTGTAAGCATCTGTCTGTAGTATTTGAAATTTCAACCAGATTGAACCACTTGAAGATCATGCTGTATACGGGTTTTAACCGCACCCAGCCCTTGACCTTCGCCCACTTCCACCACCACCAGCAATTCCCTCACTGCATCCACCACCCTCCCCACCATCGTCCTCTCCCTGCACCATCATCCTGCTCCGCTCCATCCCTTCCCAGCGTCTCGTTCCTAGCCTTGTTTACTCTCACACATCTTCCTTCTGTCCGCTCTTCCTTTCATGGCGGTGAAAATTGCGCACCGCGTGGTGTCGCTGCTGCCGGCGGCGACGGAGGCGGTGTGTCTGGTGGGCGGGAAGGACCTGCTCGTGGCGCGCAGCCACAGCGACGACTTCCCGCCGGAGCTCGTACTGCTGCCGGCCGTCACTGCCGCGCGCGTCACGCTCGGCAGCTCCAAAGGTGCTACGCTAAGAGAACGCCGGAGGCTGCTATAGTCGAATGCGTTTATAAATGGAATTATTTAGAAGCGGTGAATTGGCGACGCTGCGTCAAGCAACTACACTGTTTCGTTTGTCCGTTTGTCGTGTTCGTGACTCGCCCACCGCCACGTCGTTCGCCGCAATAGTCGCCGCAACCTTCGTCGCGAATACCCATTACGCGCTTTGCATCCACGGCTCTCAATTCTCATTCGCCCCAGGCACCGTCTCCAATTCGGCTCCTCGCTTAATCCTCCGCGTCCCACTTTCCGCGCCGCAGACATCGACGACCAGGTGAACAGCCTCGTGGCGTCGGCTCAGGAGCTCTACGAGCTCAAACGGGACATCCTACAGCGAGTCAAGCCGAGCGTGATTATAACGCAGGGGCTCTGCACCGTGTGTGCGATCAGTGACGACACTGTGCGAGCAGCAGCCAAGTGAGTGCGCGCGAAGGTCCCTGTTTCTTGCTCCCTTTCTCCCGCTCTCTCTTTCTCTCCCTCCCTACCTCCGTCTCTGCCATAGTCCGTCCCCTCTCCCCCGCCGCCACTACTCCCCCACTGCCCTCCCTCGCCGTCTCTTTCTCCGTCTATCTCTCCTTCCCCAATGCCCTTCTTCCCTGACGTTCCCTTAATTTCCCCTCACGTCAGCAGTCAGCCCTCAGCCCTCTCCGGTTTATCTGTCCTGTCCTCCCATCGCTCCTCGCACCCCGTGCCCACAGGGAGCTGGAGCCACGCCCGGAGGTGGTGAGTCTGTCGCCCATGTCCCTCGAGGACATTCTCAGTGACATTGAGAGGATCGGCGCCTCCATTGGTGAGTCACTCTGCATAGCATTCCTACCGCAGGACAACTCCTGCCAAATGTGAATTCAAACAGTTCGTTTGGATGCGCAGCACCATGAGTAACCCCTACTGAGTAAATATACTTGTTCCTCCCCCGCTCCCTGCACACCCTGTGTTCGCTCCATTCTGTAACCGCCAACTTTCAAGGCCTGGAACAATCAGCGGAGGTGGCAGTGGCAGAGCTGAGAGCACGTGTGGCAGCAGCAACAGCCAGAGGAGCAGCAGTGGTGGAGAAGGCAGGGGGGTTGAGGCCACGGGTTCTTTTTATGGAATGGACGGAGCCAATATTCATGGGGGGGCATTGGACGCCACAGCTTATCCACATGGCAGGAGGGCAGCATCCTCTTAATCTTCCAGATCAACCAACCGGGTGAGCTTGCATGGGTTGAATGATGGAAGGGGTTGCTGGAGTAAGGAGAAATTGCTGTATGGTGGGTCTAATGGTGTGGAAACGGGTGCCACAAATTGGTATTTTGTTCTTCATTTGTCTTCGCTCGTGTTCCTCAAGGACGTTGATCCTTGTTCTTCCATCACCCTCCTCATCTCTTCCAGTTTCATCCTCATTCCCTGTTTCCCCTTTTTTCTCGATTCTTGTTATTCCCTTGCCTCGCTTGGCTCGCAGTGCGGCGAGGCCCTCCTTCCGCATACCACCAGAGGAGGTTGTGAAGATGGATCCTGATTTTATCATCGTGTGCCCATGCGGTTTTGATATTCCAACAACCCTGGTAAGACACCTCTTTTCCACAATCGCATGATACCTCATGCGATTTTGATACCTCGTGCACACTCAATCATGTCCCCTTCTTGAGGTTGTTCCCCCCAGCTCCAGTCCTCCCATAAATTGCCAACATTATTCCTTACTTTTTTCTTTGCTTGTTAGACTGAACTCAAAACGGTGGTGCAATGCGACTGGTGGAAGGGCCTGAGGGCGGTGCAGCAGGGACAGGTGGTACTGGTGGATGGGAATCAGATGTTCAACCGGTCAGGTCCTCGTGTGGTGGATGCCCTTGAGTGGCTGGTGGCTCTCTTTGAGGGGCATCCAGAAGCAGGGCCCAAGGGTTTTCCATGGCAATGGTGGAAATCGGAAGAAGCAGAATGATGATGGCTGGAACTTGACAGTGCCTTTTTCATCTAAATAATATCGTACCATTTTTCTGTGGCTAATCCATCCATCGTTGTGAAGCTTTTACTGGAATAAGGCTGGAGCAGGGACGAAGCTGCAATTATATCTAATGAAAACGGACTCTTGGTCTTGTGGCTGGGAAGTTACAATAGCATAGCCATCATCTAAGGTGATGGTACCTAGATTCTCCTGGCAAGTGAAATTGCCAGTCCATGAAACTACGCTTCACTGCCATGAATTGTGCAGGATTAGAGAATTTGGGGAAAGAGCTCCAGCATCTCATACTACTGTTGACCACCTTCAAGAAAACAATGCAAACCTCAAAACAGCAAGCCAAGAGGACATTGGTTTCTAAAATCTTTTATACGTACATTATACCAGTCCCTAAGGCCTTCACGGTAAAACGGATACGGTACATGAGAATAGCATGCTGTGCGGTGTGCATTGCTAGTTACAGCGATGGAGCATTACAGAAAGGAGAAGAGACTACCATTGCAGGCATCATCCTGTGCCTCCTCCTTATGCTGATTCTGAACTGGGATAACATAGCTGTCACTCGACCTGCACTCACCACATTAGAACGTAGTTCAGTGGAAAAGGTTGCAGAATTGAGGTAAAACACAGAATGGCAGTGATATACAAGCGCAAAAGAGCTGTTTGATTCAGAATCAGGCAGCACAGAACATACAAGAGTCCAAATAATTAGACCCCCACTCACCTTTCAAAGTGACTGATCTTCCTCAACACCTCGTTGCGGCTTGTCAAAGGTCGCTTGACAAACTCCCGCACAAATCGCTTTAAGTCAGGCTTGAACAGTATTGGCTGCGATTCAGCTTGAAGAGTTCTTCCAGCGATGCGGGTTTCTTCAGTCGGGACTGCTGTGGGTGGATGATCAAGAAGGTCTTCAAACAAACTGTTCATACAGTTGGCCATTGGAGACTCCTTCAATGGAGAAGTGCCTTCAGGGTTATTGGAGTTTCCGTGTATGACCGGCGAGGACACCACCTGTTTTTCTTGGCTTGCACATAAGCCAGCAAACAAATTTCTCCGTTGCACGGATCCCCACTGGGGGCCATCACCTCCATGGTTAGCCTCAGAAGCCCAGCTCGCAACAGTTCCTGGTTGGGATGAGAATGCTGACTCTCTTCTTGTCTCCTGATGGCCTAATGTCTGCGAGTCCCTGCTTCCTCCATTGATAAACGTAGATCTGCTTCCAGCAGACCTTGCAGAGAGCAAGGAAGACATGGAGCCCCTAGGAAACGGAGCTGGACGAGAGGCTGGCCAGCCACGAGGCACAGGTGTGCAGGCTCCTGAGGAGCTTGGGCAGTGAGGTGCTGTCAGTGGTCCCTTGGAAGCAGCAGACAGCTTCTGCACCTTCCTGCTGACACTCTTAAACATCTCATCCTCATTCTCACTAAACTTTGAAGGTTTGCGCTTTGGCTTGTTGCCTCCTACCAACTGTTGCTTTTCACCCTCTTCAGTAGTACTGCTCCAGATATCTGTAAAAAATCATGGCAATTTAGTGTGAAGAAAATCCACAACCTTAAATCACATCATGCTGCAAGACTCACTGTTACTCCATTCTTTCGATTCTTCAAGCATGCCGTTGCCAGAGTCAGAAGTTTGCTCAAAATGACCACCTGTAACAGAACCAAGACCTGAACACTGGAATACTTAAAACACCAGTGTCGCAAAGGACTCCTGCAAAAGTATAAACATGCCAACTTAGGCTGACAACAAAGTGATGTATGCTGGCTGTCAACACGTACTGCTCGGAGGTCTGATCTCTTCTTCCTCAAGCAAGGAGAATGATGGCCTGCACAGATAGTTTTGCCATCAGCAACCACAGCTAGAACCCAATGTAGCTCGGCATTTTATATGCTCACGGTTCGAAGTCCTGGTCATCACGTTCTTCCGGTATGTGAGCTTGCTGCAACTCCCCACTCTTTCCTTCAGCCTCCACTGCTGGGGTCCGTACTTGAAGCCTTTCCTTCAATTCAGGAGCACGGGCTGCCTCAGCAGCAGGTGTACGATGAACATTGCCATCTTGAACAGGCGGCCCAATTTCAAACCGTGTATGGATATCGATCCCCACTGCTCAGACAAAAACCATCGTTGATCACAAATATACCGTAAACCAAATATATATGCACATTCAGCAGCTGCAGAGACGTACCAAAGTCTTGGTGAACAACAGAGGCCACAAGGGTAGCACCTGGCCCAGTGAATGACGTGCTGACAGTAATGTTGTATGGACTGCAGTAACGAGCGTAAATTAGTGCGTGCACTAGCATAGACGATGAAGTATGCGCTTCGAAGCATGAAAAATGGTGATGATGGTGGTTACCTGGCGAATGTCTCCAGGCTGCAAAGGGGGATACATTTGTTAGATCAAACTGCTGAATGATTGAGATGTCCACAATAACACAGCTTCGTAGTGCTTCCAGTACACATACCAGATTTTCTCGTGGAAGACAAGACTGTTGCTTTGCTCATTCCCTACAAGCTGTAGAACATATGCAGTGTGTCAGCTCAAAGAATGTGCAGGCATAGAGGTGCAACTGCGAATAACACTTACAAGATACACGAAGTTCTTTTTCCCTGTTGTCTTGGGAAAGCACGCTCTTTTTAAGCTGATCCGAAATTCAAGCTTTCCTGAATAGTTTCCCTTCTCTCCTTCAGCAATAGTGACGTCCACAGAGGGAGGAAGAGACTCGAGGACCTCTTTAATCTGGTTCCCGAAGGGATACTTGCGCCCAGTAAGGGACTCAAGCCTGCGAGGGTCACTTTGTCGAAGCTTTTCAAAGCTGTCGATTCCAGCTGCAAGCAATGCCTGTGCCATAGTCAGCAGAGTCGGAGGTCTTGCATAATGCAACATCACATGAGAACAGAATGAGCTTGGCACGAAACTCACTTTGGCTGTGACATGGCCGACACCAGTGAGTTGTTTAAGGAGAAACTGAGACGTGTCCCACAGGTGGTGTCGCAAGCATTTCGCCAGGCACAATGCAGACAGAGACTCCATGTACCTCTTTGAGAATATGAAATAGCGACCCATGCAGGTAGCTATGCGGTTACCATTAGTACAGATGCCTTTCACATCCTGACGTAATGCAAAAATGATGTAGTGAGAAGGTATAGGCCAATACTTCAGCAGCAAGGAAATTTAACAGGAAAGCACCCACCTGTGACATGGTAAAGTCCAGATTGGATGGGTCACCAGAGAGGGTGTCATTAATAAGAATGAATATCTTTTCATAGTCATCCTGAATGCGGCGCTTAACCTTCCCCCCAGGTGTCATGACATGATAGCGAATCCTGGATGAGGACTCATTATTGATGTCATTCAAAAACTTCTTCTCTGACCGCCTAAGTTTAATCCCTGCATAGAAGACAGAGGTTACACTAAAAAATGTATAACAGACCACATTCAGACAGGATTAAGGATGCCTTACAAGAGAGTTCCTTCGACCGGCATAGAACTCCAAGAACATCTTCCATTTTAGCACCAGGAGGAGTCTGGCTGATCGATTTCATGGTCTCGAAACTCAAATAGGACTGAGCCATCAGCTTTCCTGGCTCTGCATGGACAATAATCCCTTCAACAATCCACCAATGAAGAATGTACGTAGATCAGTTCCCATTATAAAATCTGTAAACACACCTGCGGGCTGAAGAACATAATTGTACTCGTCTGTGGTGACCATCCCATACTTGACAAGCTCATTAATGCTCTGCACACAGATATCTAGCAGACAGAACACACATTAACTTCAAGATTACCATTTTTCATGAAAATGAAATACATGTCCCTCCAATGTTGTTGTGACGAACCCACCTTTGAGCTTTCTTTTTAGTTGATCTTCGCTCAAGTTGGACGGAATTCCATAATGCAAAGGATTCTGCAGATGCCACGAGCGGAAATGAAGACGACTTTCTTGACCGGCACCGGAGCCCATGGAATATGTGGCCGCTTACCTTCTGAATCCGCACATAAAGAAAAGAGTTCTTCAACCTGAAAGCAAACAAGAGATCACTACAAGGACCGACATAACATGAGTCAAAACGGGATAACTATCACAACTATACCAGTCAATAGCAAGGCTCATGTCAGATACGGTGAGAAGAACAATCTCTGCATTCAGGTGTTCAATAATGGACTTCAACAGCCTACAGAGAACACAACATCGAGAGAGTTAGTGATATATTATGAACGAAAAAAAGAAAAACACGTCCTTGACTTCACTTCGTACTCCGATTCCACTGGCTGAGAGCCTGACATTAGGTTTTCATAAAGGTAAACCTGCAGGCAAGCACCACATTGGCATCAATAACAGAAATATGTGAACCTGGAAACCCCAAAGCTACTCCACTTCGTGTTACGGAGTAGCTTCCATACCGTTTCTCGCCGAGTCATGATGACAACTTTCCCTGTTTTGTCAAACTGTGGCCTTCCAGCTCGACCCGACATCTTGCCACAAACAGATTGGTGGGGAAGCAAGTACCACACGAGTCAATATAGACGGTTGGGTGACATTACGTAGATCGGGAAAATGGAAAATGTGGACCTGGTTACCTGCAAAATGGATGCTCGATCATATTCCACATAGCCTCCCTTTTCCTTGTTGCTGAAAGAAAGAAAAACGAGAAAAAAAATGTTTAGCAAGCAATAAACCTGAAGAGGAAAATTGCCAAAAGTGTGGATGAGAGAAGTGCTTACTAGATTTGAGTTGACTTAATCACCACAAGATGGGCTGGCAGGTTCACACCAACAGCCAAGGTAGCTGTTGTGCATATAATCTGGAGGTCTCCGCGCAGGAAAAGGCTTTCTACAAGTGTTCGATTCTTCTGGTCCAGACCACCATTGTGGAATGCAACTGCGTACACAGTCAGCCGGTGGTGAGAGCCCTAGAGCAGGAGGCTGATACACGAAAAAAAACACAAACCCCACCTCCATGACGGATGCAAGACTGCAACACCTTGTCCTGGGTCGATAATGAAGCTGCTTGAAGCCTATCACACTGCTGCTGGTTTGTCACGAGAGGATTGTTGTAGGGCCCATTTTTCGAGAACTACATGTAACAAGTTCGTGTTTAGTACGCACCCTTTATTGTGTGGAAACACGAACAAAGACGTAAATTACCTCTGTAGCAAGATGCTGCGCAGCATCCTGCGCTCCCTTGCGTGTGCTGCAAAACACAAGCGCTGGCTTGCCATCATTGTGCTGTTTAATAACCTCTGCAGAACAGGACAAGGAGTTGTTATGGTCATTTGGCTCAGGTAGGCTAGCTCCACCGACTTATTCCCCACTGAAACAGACCTGGAAGAAAATATTGCAGTCTCTGCAAGTGGGAAAAGAAAAGTGCGACCGTGTTAAGTATGGCGTTAAGGAGATGAAAAAAAAACGTACAAACATACAATGGTGTCAAACAGCCTTACCTTCTCGAAGAGAAAGTCATTCTTGGCAGGTGCATAACCTGTTACATAAAAAGAAAAGTGAGCTTTTTTATTCTACCGGATGGTTTGGCCTACCCAAGGGTAGAAGTAGTGACATACCATACACTGTCGAAGTCAGCTTGACAGGCCTCATCTCTTCGCCAAATCTAAGATGAGGAGGATGAGGAACACACCAGCAGAAGTATGGAAGTTTGGAAAGGGAATAGTTCATACCTTCTTGTTCCTTTGCCTTTGGAAAGGAGCCAATCGGCTGCATACCACGGGGAGATTGCAGTATCAGATTTGTATTCATAGACTTAATCATCTTTTCTCATTCCTGAAGAATAGCGGCAGACGCACTAGACCAGGATATAGCCATTTCGTTAAATTTCACGAGAAGCGTACCAATGTCATGCAGGTTGGGTATGGTAGCAGAAACAGCCACGAATCGGATGCTGGAAATGGGTGAATTTGACATTTCTGGATATCGCGAGAGCATTTTCAGTCTGCTGACAATAGCCTCTAGAGCGGCTCCTCGTGGATCGCTCAAGAGATGAACTTCATCAATAAGGAGCAGAGCAATGTCGCCGAAAAGTGTAAGGCCGCCTCTATCACGATGCTTCCGTGTCAGTGAATCAAATTTCTGTGTCAAGTTGCTCCGTTAGAGATCACTAAAATGAGAAGCAAATCAGGATAAAAAAAATCAAGGGTAGCGCCATCAAACCTCTGGTGTGGTAAGGATGATATCAGCGTTGTGGAGATCCTTGACCGTCGTGTCTGCACAGTTTCGTACTCGTCAGCTCAGATTCGTACAGTCGTAGAAGCCCTAAAATGAATTCCTACCAGTGTCTCCAGTGACTTCAGAGCACTTGAGATGCAAATGCTTTCCAAAGGTGCTTTCCCAGCTCCTATGTTTTTCTTGAACCAACGCCTGCAGGAGAAGTAATTGGCATCTGTGTTTCAACAAAAAATTGCACTTTCACGCACAACTCATGCTTGCCTTCATTGGAGCGACATATATCTGCATGTCAATGACAACATAAGCGTCCTATCGTGTCAGTAAAAGCAAAATGCATCGCAAGCATGTCTTACAATCTTGTACCGTCCCGGAGAAGGGATATACTCATGGCCAGATGTCAGCGTCTTGCTTAGGAGCCGCAGTACAGCCAGTTCGAACAGCACGGTCTTGCCACTACCTGAAAATGCATGCGTTAAACATTTCCTTCACTTTTTAGCAATGAACTTAATTGCTCACCTGTTGGAGCTGATACAACGATATTGTTGTCTGTCGTGTACACCTCCCCGAAAGCCTCGCTTTGAACAGCATTGAAATACCTGGAAAAAGAAAAAGGAAGACCGCTTGAGATTATAATCGCTGGCAGAAGTGTCTTTGTAGCTGGTCTAAAAAACGGACCTGAAGCTAAACAACGAACGGAAGCACGGTGGGAGGTGACTGATACACTTCAGGGTATCATCAATCTCAATTGCGGGCTGTTGCTGTGTCTCTGAATACTGAGGTGTCGACGAGAAAACCATGGCTCCTGCTTGTCAGCAGCTCTAGCCTTGTTGCTCTGGCTTCAATGAGGTACTCCCTCAACGGTGATGTGTGCCGATCCTCTGTTCAACTCGAATTCTTGGTCGTGGTTGCAGATGCTCAGCAAAGCTTCACCTCGGGAATTGGAGGGGTGCGAAAGGTCAAACTCACGCTGTGGCTACATGAAGTAGGGCGAGGTGATTCTGACAAATGTTCCAACAAAACCCATTAAGCATAATTATTTGTAGTAAAACATTTTTATCAATCTGGTGGACTTAGCTGTAATGAACGAGTGCATATCTCTTTCGCTTGAAAACAATTAAAAAACAGCTAACTAAGTCAACACTACAATCCTGATGCTTTGCGTCTGAAATTTGAAGCATCACATTGAAACACATTCGGCTTTTTTTGGATCACAAAGCACCGTACAAGCGTTGAAACTATCTTTAAAACTATGGAACATGAAGCAGTACGCCAGTTGTGTGAAGTTCTTGCTATGGAACAACACTGCAAGCAATAAGCAACTCCATCGTCCGTTTAAACTACCTGCTATGGTGTCTATCAGCAGCAACTGCAACAAATGGCAATCGCACCCAAACCTCTGGGCCTTGAGATACCATATAGTTTTCATATTTCATGGCCCCGCCATGCATGCTTGCATAACCTTATCATCAACACTGATCATCCCACGACTCTCCTCCTCGCGACCCCCTTGATTGTGTCCTGGGAAAAATGCAGGTTGGAATAAGGCAACAGGAACCATGAAAGGACTGTCAGGAATAGGAGCAGGAGACCTTGCGATGTGGGAAGGTGGAGTGTCATGTGTGCCCACAGGAAATAGACGCTAGGATGCGTGTATGCCCGCATGTGTGGTTGTGCGCATTTGTGCGTTTACATAAGTGATGAGTGCTGATGATGTTGCTGTCACGATCACGACAACGTGCAGGCAAGCGCATCGCAAGGCAGGGCAAGGCAGCAAGCAAAGCGTGCCATCAGGAAACAGGAAAGCAACAAACCCCATGACTGGCACAGTCCATGAAATTGGTGGATTGGAAGTGAAGGACAAGAATGGGCATGCTGTACTGGAATGATTAGGCTAAGTGCACGCATCAGCATGACTTGCAATGCCAAAGCGAAGGAGGTGACAGTGGCGGAATAACACAGGAATAGATATGAAGCATAACTCAGGGTGCAGTGTACAAGCATGCAATGCAGCCGCATGCAAGTCCTCAGGCTGCGAATGCGTAGGTTTGTGTGTGGTAGTAACATAGTGTTGTGATTCACACTCGTGTGCATGACTACATGTGCACTTGCATGCGACACACAGGTGATTACATGTGCATTCGCGTGTTTGTCAGTGCAGGCATAGGTGAATGTGTTGCAGATGCTTGTGAAATGGCATGGCATCTTCTCTCATTAACTTCCCACACTCGCCCATACAATCGCCCATACAGCGACCATTGCCAAGGACTCCCATGCTCCCCTCCCTGGCGACCTATGTTTACCAACCTCGGCAGAAGGCTAATCCACGACAGTGCGCTGGTAGCCCCTCTCCTTCACCAGATGGTCCAGATACCTCAGTACCTGCAAACACATGGGCAGGACAAGGGAGGCGGGCAAGTGGTAAAAGACAAAACCCAGGTTCAAAAGCCATTCCAAACAAGGGCGTGTGGGTCCAATCAGTATGCTGACGCCGGTGTAAGAAGGTGGTGCCAGAAGGGAAATGAAAGCAGAGAATGAAGAGTGACATATGATAAGTTACACATCGTCTCACAATAGAGTTCAGAGTGTAGAATAGCATGCAATAAAACGGTATTGAAAGAGAAAGCATCAGACACTGGTCAGATGTACTCAAAGATCACGCGCTCCCAGCCACACCCAACCTGCATCATTCGCCTTTCACCAAAATTATCCTCTCTAAGTTCCCCCTTTCCGTTGGCTGACCTGGTCCCTGCGGGTGATGAGGTCGGTGATCTCCTGCTCGCTGAGCATGCCGCTGAACTTGAGGGCGAGGATGGAGCGGTCCAGGAAGCGCAGGCGCAGGTACGTGTGCGCACTCACACACCGGATGGACCCCGTCTGAAACGCGTTCTCATGCTCCATCAGCACCACCGCCTCCTGAGAAATAGCAAGGCGAGGACACGTTAAAGGAGAGAGGGGCGAGGGAGGGGAGGGAAGGGGGGTGGAGGGGTTCGACAGGGAACAGTGAGATAAGAAAAGGCAAGAGGCATCAGAATAGAGAAATAAGTAAGGAAAAAAAGGGGAAGAAAAGGCAGCAACAGAGACGAGCGGAAAGAGGCAGGAGGAAACAGAGTCTGAACAAACCAGTACAAACAATACCACCAGCAGCCTGCAAGCTTCCAGCATCACCTATCCTGGCTCCTCACCCGTCGAAAGCCAGCAGCATGGTCAATGAGCACGGGGCGCATGGTGCCATCCGTCCAGTGCTGGCCGAAGAGAAAGTGCCCGTGGTGCCTGTCGCTGTTGTTCAGCAGCACGTCCAGGATGCGCGTGTCACTCAGCAGGTGCGCCACAGACACGCCCCACGACGCCGCCGCCACCTTGCGCAGCTCCTTGGTGTGTGGCACCCAGTAGATGAACGCGCCCTCCTCGTACCGCACTGTGTGCTGCTCCTGCTGCTGCTGGTGCTGCTCGTGGTGGTGGTGCTGCGAGTTGCTGTGGTCAGATGAGCGGCTGAGAGTGAGCTCCACTCCGCCTGTGCGGTACGCCACCTGGGTTACACAGAGGGTGGGGATTCAGAAATTGTGGAGGGGGAGGAGACCTGGTGCGGCTGCGGAAAACTGCGCGTGAGTGCCTGGGTGCAAGCTGCCAGCTTCATGAGTTTAGTCAAGCTGGCGCACTGCTTTCAGCTTTTGCTAGGGACCTGGACGAAGCTCCGAGGTTTTGAAGACAGGGGCAGGGTTCATGCGCGTTCGTTTAGCATGATGACATAGACTAAAGTTACCAATCTGGTTCATCCTTCCATGCATCGTGTGCTCGTTGGTAGCTAGGGAGAGCGAGCACGCAAGGGGGACTCACCGGGGGAATGTAGTCCATGCCCAGCAGCAGGTTGAGCTCGTATGCCACCCACTCTATTGGCGCTCTGTGCCACCCCTCAGCATCGCCCTCCACCCGCGGCTTGAACATGGCGTCGATCTGACAGCATGATAAACATAGAACGGATTAAACAATGATGACACATGCATATCACAAGGTCTCCCAGCGCAATGGCCTTCTTGCGTTCACGTCCCAACTTAGCAACCCATCCTACACTGCATTGCAGGTCCACCGGCCATAGGTCCAACCCTTATCCACACCACACCTCTTCCTTCTGGCCCTCACCTCCCTCCTCTCCCCTACCCCCCCCCCCCCCCCCCCCCCCCCCCCCGCGCACCTCTTCCTTGGTGTCTGGCGAGCGCAGGCGCACGAGGAAGCTCTCATGGCCGAACCTCGACGGCGGCTCCACAGGCCGCGCCTTCACCACGTGCCCCTTCGCCAGCAGCTCCTCAATCCGCTTCCTCCTCTCGCTCGCCGCCGGGTCCCCCGCCTCGCCGCCCGGCTGCAGCCGCTGCTCCCGCCGCATCTGCGTGGCGGCGTCCGCGATAGTGGCGATGGCCAGCGCGGCGTAGTCGTCCGCGCCGAGCGACGGCGCGGAGGTGAGGCACGCGTCGCCCGCACACTGCACGGTGGCCTCGAGGGTCACCACGGCCTGGCGGTTGCGGTCGTCCTTGCGGATGGTGGTGGTGAGACACGAGAGCGCGCCTGGATGGTCGATGGAGCACTGGGTCGTTTCTGTCACCACGGATGTGTCCTCCTCCTCCTCCTCCCCCTCGGAGGCCTGCACTGCCTCTGTGCTCCATTCCGACCCACTGTCGCCCTCTGCGTCTGATTCTTGCGCCTGTGGTACTCTTATTGCGCCTTCGCTCGCCTGCGCAGCACCGTCCACTGCACGTGCGGGCGCAGCGGAGGAAGCAGCAGCCGCCGCTGCTGCCGCTGCTGCAGCCACCACTACGCCTGGTGGTGCTGTAGGGGTTGATGCCTCTGTCGGTGGTGCCCCAGCGACTTCAAGATATGCTACTGCTGCTGCTTGCCCTGCTGCAGCATTAGTAGGTGAAGAAGTGAGGGGAGACGCAGCAGTAGCCGCCGTCGCCTCAGGCGCAGCCTGCACCGCATCAACACTGGCAGCGCCAACCCCTTGCAGGTCCGCCCTCCCCTGCGCCGCCCCCACGCTCTCCATGCCCTGCACAAGCGCCCCATTTCTGCCTGCTCCCGCTTCCGCCGGGGCTGCGCTTGTGGAGAGAGACGCTGCCGCTGGTCGCAGCGTGAGGGAGACGAGGGGGACGCGCAAGGTAAAGAAATGAGAGTGGTAAGGTGAGGGAGAGATGTCAGAGGGAACGACTGCAGGCGTGACAGCAGTCGGGTACGGCGATGTAAAACAATATCAACGTGGCTTCCAATCCCGCTTATCAGGACAACCCGCACGGCTGACGCCCTTCCCGTTCCCCACCATTACCCTGGCAAGCATACCCCAGGAAACATGCAACCCGTTCCTTCATCAGCCTCTCTAATCACGCACCCGGCAAACCCATCCCCCCTCCTCCCCCCCCCCCTCCACCCACGCTAACCTTCCGCGGCACGTTGCTGCGCGGCGAGTCTCTCCGCCTGCCACTCCGCGGCCGCGCGCATGCTTTCCCGACGCCGCTCCTCCTCCTGCCGGCGCGCCTCTGCCGCTGCCGCCAAGCGCATCTCCCCCAAGCGGCGCACCTCCGCAGCTTGCTGCAGCCGCGCGACTTTCTTCAGCTTCGCCGCCTCGATGCGCGTCGACTGCGCGCACATGCTCAGCTTCCGCGACGCCTCCGCCAGCATGCGCGTGTACTCCGACACCTGCCGCACCATCGTGTCGTTCTGTCGCTCAATCGTCGCAATGTCGCGCACCAATCGCTCCAACTCACCGTCTCCAATGTAATCACCAACGATGTATTCAGTCCCTCTGTTTCCATCTAATCCCAAACCCAGGTCCTCGCCCACACCCTCTCCCAACCCCAGCTCCTCCTCCCCTTCCGGACCTTTCACTTGGTTCACCTTCCCCCCTTGCCCGTGAGGAGACCCATCACCCAACGCGCCATCCTCCCCGTCAGCTACAACACCACCTTCCCGCGTGTTTACCGCCGGCACGGACGGCGCACTCGGCGGTGGATTCCTGTCAGGACCCCACGCGCGCACGCCGGCCCCCAGCAACCCGTGGTTGGAGCGTCTCAAGTATCGCAACCCTGGCGCGGCTTGGTGGGGTTGCGACCAGCGGAGAGACGAAGGGACACCTTTATGCCTCGACACACACGGACGAGAGGGGAGAGACTCAACGCTGCTGCTGGCACTTACGGGAATTCTGACGTCATAAGCCGCCGTTAGGGAGGACAACGGGGAAGCTGACGGCCGGGAAAGACGAGCGTTGCAAGCGGACCTGCAGCAACCGCACGAGCCCACGCGGCTACTGCTGCTGCAAAGGCTGAGCGTTCCTGTTAGTGGGGATGCCGGTACACAGGTTGCTGACGTGGAGTCTGTGAGAAGAGCGGAGGTGGTCGGAGATGCACTGTGTAGCAACCTACCAGCCATGCTTCGCGACTTGGACCAGGACAACTTTGAAAAGACGGAAGGAGAGATTCCAAGGAAGACGAGAGCGGATCCCGCCACCGTTGTTCTCAGGGTCTTGGGCGGCCTTGTCGATGCCGAGGCGATTCAACAGGACGACAGCAGCTAAAACCTAAGACAAATCTCCACTGGTTTCATGGTAATGAAGTGTCGGAGAGGGGATGGTAGGTGGACGGAGGGAAGGTAAAGAACAAAAACTAAAAAACGGATGTAAGAAGCGGGAGGGATCCAGTGAAGGGAGGATGTGAGATGGAAAGTTGGATGTTAAAAACAGACAAGGACAGGCAGACGTGGAAAACATCACATCGTGAAGCAGGAATGAGTGACAACGAACAGACCTGGCATAGTGACTACTGACCTAGAGTTCGCCACTGTTCGATCAGAGGAGATTCATGGCACAAGAAGGCTCCATTGAAAAACAACGCACCCCAGAGCACATAGGTCGAATACAGCTCAGTAAGCTTCGGAGAAAAGCACACGGAAAACGAACAAATGGCTTTCCATCTATCAGCATACAACAGCTAACTTCCTGTGAAATCCTGTCAATGAGGCAGCTCGTTAGATTTCTGCTGTGTGATGTTGCAGCACGCATAGCACCAGTGCGGGGGCGGAGCAGAAAGGGCGAGAAGATCAAGATTTCGGTTTCTTGCTCCCCAACAACAATCACATCCACTTCGCGGCTCTTGTTCGCAGTGTCGTTAGTCGTGACAACAGTGCACAGAACTGCCAAGCGTCTCGCCATCGACGGAAAACGATGTAACTTTGCGGAATAGACGAGGCCTTCCTTCTCGCAATGTCAGGGGATTGGATGATGTATTGCTGCCCTGACAGAAGATTTTTCTAGCCAGGCAGGTATGATGATGTCTGCACTTCAACGATTTTTTCCCTGCTAGGCAAGCTTCGCCTCCTAGTTTCCCTGCCGCTACGATGCACAGTGGCCACGCGACTATGTACACGGGCAGAAACCTTGGCAAATAGAAAATCACAATGGTCGGGTAGGCTATTGTGGCGCTCTCGAAAAGAAGATCCACCAATCAGCCTTCGTGTTTGTTTCGCACAGAACCCGAGGAGTCTGCAGCGCTGAGCAAATTACGGTGGAGTAGGGAGTCGTCGTCGTCATAAAGGACACCACGTCACCCATTCTTGCCAGCGTACTCATAACCTTTCCCCGCATTCTCGCTACCGCTGGCCGCCATCCAATCAGACCGCATGATCTCGCCTCGCTGGATATTCAGGTCACGTGGGACATACCCCTCGTAAGTAGCACCACCTACATCCAAGAAGTGCATGTGATGACTGGGCGTTTCTTGCCACACAAATAAAAAAGTCATTCCAATTTCACGCTAAGGCTGTAAGAAAGAGGTACTAAAGCATGTATATATAATGCCATTTAAAGTGCAAAGTGTTTCTTTTCCCACAACGCATCAGTATAATCAGAAATCTATAATATGCACATGAAGCAATTGTTAGCCGGATAGACTATGGATGGCACTCTTGCAACCCAGCCACCAGGACAACTCCCAACCAATGCAACACTCCAGATACATAGCATTGGTATGGTATCATCTGAAGCCCCACACCTCCACATGTGTCACATTGAAGTCCTCCGTGCTGCTTCCAATCACACACACACACACACACACACACACACACACACACACACACACACACACACACACACACACACACACACACACAATGGCGCCCACCAACACAAAGAGTATATTAGCACCGACCACATCAGGCATCTCCAAGTTCTCTCTGCTGTGCTATGGCCTATACCCATGCCCAAGTGCATGTGGGATGGATGCATGTTCTTGCTCTGCAGTAGACATGAATTCTCTGCTTTGTGAAAGACATACCTTGAGAGGGAGCAGCTGCCAAAGGTGGAACAGGGTCCACTGTAGCCTGACAGCAGGTCAGACTGCAGCAGCAGGCTGTAGTGATCCCTGCCATGTTTACCACACACGTTTTGTTGGTCGCCGGCAGCATTCGAAAAAAGGAAAATGGACAAGTGACGAAGGGAAAGTGGGGATGTAGGAGGGTGGATTTGCGGTGAGGATAAAAAATCAGATCAGAATCAGAAGGTCATAGCAGGGATGAGATGCATTCATATCATATGAATATGATTTTACAAACTGCCAGTATGAGCCAGAGCAGAGTCTTAAATAAGGGGCAAACCATTCAGACAATGTAAGTGATGCATCAGCACCATAATTGAAGCATGGAATATTGCAAGCCTCACACGCATGCTACAGAACATTGCAAGGCAATTGTGGTGTGATAGCCAATGGCATGGCAGCATCCCAGAGTGATCGGGGTGGTGGCATGTGCGTCTCACTCACCCGCCACCGAGAGCGAGGGAGTTGGCGCTGGACAGCATGAACAGTGCGTTCACCCGTGTCCACCGGAAAGCCATCAGCCGAGGCCGCACCTGGTGGGGTGTACCATGGAAAGGCAAAAGGGGAGAGGAGAGGACCAAGCAGGGTTGCGGTAGGATTGATGGGGGAATGGGGAGATCGGTGACAGTTGATGAGTGACAGGGAAGTCAGAGAACCGGTCGGGTTCGGGTATTGCCGCACATGAGCCAGATGGAAAGAAGGTGGGAGAGGGAGAAAGAGGGGGCTTTGGACTTATGAACAAAGAAGGCAAGTGGGGGGATGCGATAGGTGAGAACGTGTGACATCATGGGGAGTTGGTGCACACATCATGGATGGAAGGTATTGTGAGCACCGTACACGCACCGTGCATGTGCCAAAGACATACCTGGAAGGCAAAGCACTCCCCATTGCCATAATAACGGGTAGAGGCCTTCCATTCCTCTGATGTAAAGCAGCCAAACACCTGGCTCATGCCATGGCACGGGACATGCGACATGAGACACGAAACATGCATTGAAAGAATTGTTGCATGTCCACGATGTGCGCTATGAATGTCACTTAAAAAATGAGAAAGAGATGGAGGGAGGGGACGGAGCAAACGGAGAAAAGAGGAGGAAAGAAAACGAAGGCGGTAAGGGGGCTCACATGCTTGCGAGAATCGCGCACAATGAGCAGCGAAGGCCCCTTCTTCGCCACTTTGCGGTACAGCGTGGCCAGACTGACCAGGACAAGTGCGAGATGGGACGGCACCATGGTGACAATGGAAGGGAGGCAGTGCAGGAGAGTTGAATAAGACGTACAACGAGGAGGTTGCAGCAAAGGGTGGTGCGATTGATGGCAAGTGCACTAATGGCATCAGGATTGATTGAAAAATGTGCAGTGGAGTAGAGTAACTGTGGTGCCTTGGAGCAACCACGCCGTTGCCGTTGTCAGACAGTGAGTGCAATGCACCTCCTCTTTCACTAATCCTGCACCGTGATGCCATGCACACCACCCATCACCCAACCTTGCCCTACATGCACGCTTCTCTCAACCATGGCACTCAGGTGGCTGCAGCCCCATTCACCTGATGCCGTCCCTGGCAGTGCTGTACAGCAGCGTCCACCGGGCCGTGCGCAGGCGAGCAGGCAGTGCCACTGCCAGCTGTGGGGATTGGGGTGCGCAGTGAGAGGGAGATGTAGAAGCACCAATGCACATGCTGAAGCACGTTTTTGGAAGCAGGCAGAGAACAGGCAAAGGCTGGGTTGGGCGGCGTGACATGGACAGACTGGTCCTCTGGTTGAAGTCGTTGTGAAGGAGGAGGGTGGGAGAGAAGGCTACGAGGCATGAAGAGGCACTGACCGCTTTGCAGTTGCCATCGGATAAGAGCTGCGACGGAGCATCCCGAGAGGGGAGGAACCGGCCCTCCACCGCCACTGAACCCCACCGAATCACACTGCACTCCTCATCCTCCTCCTCTTCCTCCACTTCGTCCTTCTCCTCCTCCCCCCCTTCTTCTGCCACCTCCCGGACCTCCTCTTCCTTCGCCACTACCTCCTCCCCATTGCCCCCCTCTCTCTCCTCACCAGAACTGCTGCCCCCCTTTGCCGGTTCAATGCCCCTCAACCCCTCCTCCGACATGCCATTCTCTTGCACCGCACCCGAGTCCACCTCTTTCGCCGCCTTCTCTCCCTCACACACGGTCGGCTCCTCACCCCCTCCTCCTGGCATGCGTGCACAGCCTCCTTCCACCAACAGTTCCCCAGCACCACATGGCCTCTCGCCCCTCTCACTCCCCACACCCTGCACCGCTGCTGCTTGCTGCTCCTCAGCTCCCCTCCTCACATCCTCTACCTTCTCCTCCTCCTGCTCGCGAGCCCTACCCTGGGCCTGCTCCTCTGCTGCATCCCGTGGTTGCTCGGCGTGTGGCGGCATGGCAATGGCAGCAACGTCGTTGGCGGGTAGGGAGCCGTAGAACACAGCCCACCCGCCCACCGTCGACTCCCCACTCGGCACAGCCTCGCCCCCCACCCCCTCTTGTGACGCCCCCATGCGCATCCCCACTGCACCCCTTTCTGATACTGCACCATCTGACGGGCTCCGCAGCATTCCCCTCAAACCCAAGCCTCTTCCCCTGCTGACTCCACCGTTTGCTGCTCGTGCTCTGCTCGTCCCTGCGGCCCCTGCTGCTACTGCCGTACCGCCTGTGCTGGGGCGGTGAGGGGCAGTGGAGGAGGAGAGGGAGGAGGCGGAGGCGGAGGAGGAGGAGCGGGCGCGGATGGCGGCCTTGCTGGCGTCGATCATGATGGCCGTGCTGTGCGCTGCTGCTGCCCACTCGCTTATCTTGCTCTCTATCGCCTTGTACCTGGTGCCGCGCGGGCAGGGACGCACACAGGACGTGGGGGTGGGATGGCAAATGTTGAGAATTTCCACGTGGGTGCCCCAGATCACATGTCATAGATGACATGCAATGCCAGCTTATTCAATTTCCCCTAGCTGCGATGCTTCGTTTCCTAATTGATCAAGGACAGCTCTCATCAGCACCATGTCAATCCCACATGTCGCCTCACATCACCCCCCTTCTATCCCCATGAGTCCCCACCACGCCGCCTACACACGCCTTCACATACCCGCTGGCGTTGCACGAGAAGGTCAGTCGTCGCATGGGCCCGTCCCACCGGCTGTCCTTCCACAGTATCTCCCACGTGCGCAGGCCCCGCTCCGACCATCCGCCTACCGCCTTCCCCTGGTTCTCTCCGCAAGTCCAGGTCCCCCGCCGCCCCCCACTCTGCTCTTCCCTTTCACCGAAACCCCCTTTTCCGCCGTTCAAAGCCACGCCATTACCCTCCCCCGTCTTCTGCGCGCGCCCTGTATCCCGCGCGCCGTGCCGTTCACCCCCATCCGGCACGCTGTGCCGCGTGCGCGCCACGCCGTTCGTTCCGCCAGCCAAGGCGGCAGCAGCGGATCCCGACGCGGACTTGCGCGTCGCTGCGCCGCCAGCGAGCTTAGCGGAGGGCACGAGCAGCGACGATAAGAAGGCACGCGGGCGTCGCGAAGCGGCGGCGGCGGCGGCGGCTGCTGCGGAAGCGGATTTGGCGGCGGAAGTCGGCGGTTGGAGATGAAGATCCGCGGAGGGGAGATCTGCGGAGGCCGCCGCGTGCGGTACCTCGCGCAAGCCGACGAAATCAGCGGAAGAGAGCTGACAGCCTATAAGGCCGAAATCGATGCTGTTAGTCGACGTGGTGACGTCAGCTTCAAGCTATTAGGGAGAGGGAGGACCAGGCGAACGAGCAGAAACGGGGATAAAAAATGACAAATAGACGTCAGAAACGAGACGCGTGTTGCCCATCCAATATTTCAATTAGCAGCAGCCATGATCACCGCGCACTGCGGACCACATCCAGAAAACAGTCCACCTGGCACAGCCAGACAGGGAGCACTACTGACTGACCCAGTCGCGACCGACGTGGAGGAAGAACAGTGGAGGGTCGTCCAAGTCGATCGTCGCCAAATCATCGCCGTCCATTGGGACCTCATCAAAGTCGTCCGTGCCGCTCCGTAGTTCAGGGTAAAACGACTCCAGCTGCCGTCGCTCCGAGTCGCTCGCGTGAGCTAGCATCTCGCGCGCCCGAGTTAGGCGGAAATCCCGGTCCTTCTCGCATGTCCATAGAACTTTCCCGGATGTTCCCGCCGAGAAATGCGGCAACTCGTCGGACGATAAGGACTGGAGTGGAACCTCCCTAAGCGGACCGCATGCTTCCATTTCCATACCCGTAATAAGACCACAGATAGCCAACTAAGGATAGATATTAAAGTGGCGTGTTACTAGGTTTGGGGACAATACTCTAAGTGGTCTGACACTGGCCCAACATATCCCTCAAATAATTGCAGTGCTGCTGACAAATCGGCAGGTGTGAACTCACCAGCCGCCACTTGAGATTCCAGCGTTCCTTATGGTATGGAGCCCAGCAGCGAGCGTGTTGTTTGTTCCACTACACATCGCGCTAGACTTGAGCAATGCCATCCACAGACAGATCCACCTGCCATCCCACCAGCTCCCTGGAAACGACGCGAGTCCGCCCGCGCACTGTGTCAGTCAAGCTGCCGAAGCAGGGGTGTGTGGTGTGGGGGCAGTAGTGACGCAATGAGCTGCGGCAGTAGCAGGTACTGTAAGCGAACCGCGACTGGCAGGCTAGGCGAGAGCAGCGCGCCGTCGAAGCTCGTACTCAGGTTCGGTGAAAAACAGCCGACGAATTGCTGAGGACGTCACCAAAAAGTTGGTGTAACCCCCCCGAGTTTCCAAAGCAAAAGTTCGGTTCACATGGGTAAAGGTCTGTGGTTGGTGGCACTTGGAAAAAGTTGTGTAGGGGGGAGAGAGCTCGTCATCAAGAAAGGAAAGTGGAGCTGGTTCGCTTGCACAGCGAAAGAGCCACATGGACTTTTGGGCCAACACTATTGGCCCGTAGTGCGGAATCAATGGATACATGTCATTTTCAACGCATCCTCACAGGTTGACTGTTTCTCAGGAATTGTCCTCACTATAGAGATCCCGGTTCTCAAATGAAGATAGGGCTCTTGTGATATAGTTTCTTTGCGGGCATTTATCTTAGCGGTAACACTCATGGAGCTCGATCGCACGCGAGGTAAGCTACGTGTCCAAATCGTAACAGAGATGTCTTCTCATCGCCACCATGGTAACCAGCATTGCCAAGATGGTCAGCATTATTGCCTGAATGGTAATGAACAGTACGTCCGGAAATCCTGGATGGTAACTTCGCTTTCCAACCAAACTGTACACTGTACATGTCAGGTTTGACTCAGCAAAAGGAAACTGACTGTCCACGTTTACACCCACAGAATGCGCAATTCCGTTTATAATACCGGCGTTTACAATGCGAGAAGGAATTTCGAAATGAAGACTTGTAATCCGTAAAAAAAAAAAAAAAAAAAAAAAAAAAAAAAAAAAAAAAAAAAAAAAAAAAAAAAAAAAAAAAAAAATCATCTGGCCTTAACTATCAAACAAACGCCACAAAAAAAACACACAATGTCAAACAGCAAAGCTATCCTAGTAATAAATTATTTAAACCAAATTATTTTACCCTATATTCAAGCTAGAACAAGTTACAAAAAAAATATCAATTTGAACAATATTAATTTTGCATATGACAGACAATAAAAGTTACATAAACAATATATCCTTGTATTGATATAGTAAATAATGCATTATATGGATTGTTTTTAACAGATAATTCGATCCCAGTTTTTGTAATAGTCAGGCTACATTTGTTTTTCCAGAGTGTCCGTAAAATGCTTGCTGTAATAGTGATAGGAAATTGTATCGAATACGAGCATGTAACGTTCTACTAAACAAAATTGCGCATTCTGTGGGTGTAAACGTGGACAGTCAGTTTCCTTTTGCTGAGTCAAACTTGACCTCTACGGTGTACAGTTTGGTTGGAACGCGAAGTTACCATCCAAAATTTCCGGACGCACTGTCCACTACCATTCAGGCAATAATGTTGACCATCTTGGCAATGCTGGTTACCATGGTGGCGATGAGAAGACATCTCTGTTACGATTTTGACACGTAGCTTACCTTGCGTGCGATTGAGCTCCATGAGTGTTACTGCTAAGATAAATGCCCTTTCTTTGCCTTTGGCTGGTGTACATTGCGGCGCTGTAGAGCGCACTTTGCCCCGCGCAGCACAGGGCGCTTCGCCCGCGCGCCATTTTTGCACGGAACCTGCCATTCCCCGGCTAGTGTTTGCGGAAAACTGGCACAATCACCGACTACCATGACGTGACGAAACTTTTCGCTTGTGCGAAAACAGGGAATCCAGTATTTTCCCAATTTCGCGTTGGTCGCAAGACAGCCCAAGCACAAGCTCACCCATCTCGGCACGGCACCATCCCATACAATCATCAAAGCCGCGCTTCACCCCATCCTGCTATTCTGACACACAGCCGCTTCCCAGATCCAATTCTCTGAAATTCGCTGTGTCTGAACCACTCCCTCACTAGCTTCCGGAACCTTATTATCCACCCAAGGTAGTCCTTTCCCAAATCTTCCCAATCAGCCACTATTACCGCCAACTTCAACGGTCGCGGTTTGAAACCTTGTCGATTGCGTGTAGGGATTGGTCGTCTGCTATGCATCCGTTCTCTCAATTCGTGGTTAGCCACGCGTATTTTAAATCAGCAGCTCATCATCTCTCACATTCCAACCTCCAAGGTTCTCCAATGCTACGCCCACATTCTCCGTTATGCTCTTTGGCCTCGAGAACTTCAACCTCGCCTTCTCGCCTTCCGTTCAACTTTGCGAGGCTTTCAGCCTTCGCTCTGCAGCACTCTTCACGTCGGTGACAACACAACCGTTCAGCTTTCTCTGCTCGCATGTTCGACAACCTAAGTGCATCGGATCTCGTCAGCCTGAGTTCTTCACCAGCCTGCTGTCGAGCTTTCCATCTAAGTGCTCCTTCCACGACTGGCGCAATTTCTTCTTTCCGCTTTCAATTTCGTTCGTACTATTTATTTGTTTTCCAGCCAAAGCACCGCCCGTAGGGCTCCCTGTCTCCTCCCCTAGGTCCGCGTTAGTCTCTTTAGGTCAGTCTTGTCAAACATATATTTGTTATATGTTGTAGTTATTGGTAGGCTGTAGTGGGGTAGATTCTGTGGGGTATAACCCCTTAGGGTTTTCCTACTTGTAAAACTCTCTCGATAGTTGAATCGATCCTTGCCTAAGTCTCAACATGGCATCTAGAGCACTAAGGTCTCTAGGTCCTAAGAATAGGGCCCACCTTTAACTGAGTTACCTCACTTACAACCTCACTGCCTGCCTGCCTGCCCTGCCTGCTGCCCGCGCGCGCCTCGGCTGCTTGCGCGCGTCACTTTTTTTTTTCGCGCGCGTCACTATTGCAGCCGCCTTAGGAGCCCGCGCGCGCCTCAGCCACTCCGTAGCCCGCTGTAGCGCCGCGCGCCGGCCCGCTCGCGCAGTCCGCGTCGAGCCCGCGTAGCCCGTCGCCGTGTGCGGCCCGCTTAGGCCCCGCGCGCCGCGTCTGTCGCCAGCGCGGCCCGCTACTGAGCCGCGCGCCGAGTCTGCCGCCCGCGCAGCTCGCTGCTGTCCCTGAAGCAGCCGCCCCTGGAGCAGCCGCCCCTGGACCCAGAGCAGCCGCCCCTGGCCCCTAAAGCAACCGCCCCTGGACTCCGTGCAGCCGCCCCTGGACCCAGAGCAGCCGCCCCTGGCCCCTGCAGCAGCCGCCCCTGGACCTTGAGCAGCCGCCCCTGGCCCCTGAAGCAGCCGCCCCTGGTGCAGCCGCCCCTGGACCCTCGAGCAGCCGCCCCTGGACCCAGAGCAGCCGCCCTTGGCCCCTGTAGCAGCCGCCCCTGGTGCAGCCGCCCCTGGACTCCGTGCAGCCGCCCCTGGACCCAGAGCAGCCGCTCCTGGCCCCTGCAGCAGCCGCCCCTAGAGCAGCCGCCCCTGGACCCCGAGCAGCCGCCCCTGGTGCAGCCGCCCCTGGACCCTCGAGCAGCCGCCCCTGGACCCTCGAGCAGCCGCCCCTGGACCCAGAGCAGCCGCCCCTGGCCCCTGCAGCAGCCGCCCCTGGAGCAGCCGCCCCTGGACCCCGAACAGCCGCCCCTGGCCCCTGAAGCAGCCGCCCCTGGTGCAGCCGCCCCTGGACCCTCGAGCAGCCGCCCCTGGACCCAGAGCAGCCGCCCCTGGCCCCTGCAGCAGCCGCCCCTGGTGCAGCCTGTCACAATTAGCAGTACAAAGTTTAGAAACAGAAAGAGGGGTTTCACTAGCAGCAGTTGGGATACATATAGCAAACCCTAACTGGGTTGTACCCGCTATAGAGCACCCCACTACAGGCTAGATAATAACATTCTGACACACCCCCATAGCCAAAGTGGGGTGTAATCAGCACAATGAGCAGGCATAGCAGGAGTTCACAATAATAAGCAAAGCTAGAGGTAATCACAGCGGGCAAGTGTGGAGGAGGAGGAACCGTGGAAGGAGAGAAGATGGGAGGCAACGACTGAAGCTGCAGAGGCACGGGCACAGGAGCGGCTGACTCAGTGGCTACCGAAGCAAGGGCGACGGACTACTGGAGTGACTGGCTCCGCGGCTAAGACGAGCGGCAGGAGCAACGGACCCACTGGCGACTGGTGCAACAGGCTCACTGGCTACCGAAGCAAGGGCGACGGACTACATGCGCTGCAGGCGACACGACAGCTACCTCCACACAACCTCCTCCAACTGACCCACACCCTTGACACACACCCCCTGCTGAACCCCTAACTCCACTCCCACGTCACCCCCCTAGCGCCATTCCCCTCGGCTCCCACACCTCCACCCCCCTCAGCAGCAGCTGCAGCAGTGGGAGACGAACAAGGAGGTGGGGAGAGGGAAGGGGAGTACCCACACCGCGCACCCCCATGCTCGCCACCCCACACCCCCCACCACCGTGGAACGCACGGCGGCACGGGAGGATGGGCAGCACGGGGGGGGGGGACGGTACAGGAGGGGCCGCGCGTCTCTCCTCAGGGCGCCAAAACGGACGGGCAGGGGGGCGCGCGCGGCTCCCCAGGGCGCCGCGACGGACGGGCGGGGGGCGCGCGCGG